CACACCAGAACCAAACCCGGCCCGTTCCTACACCAGCCTGTGCACACCAGAACCAAACCCGGCCCGTTCCTATACCAGCCTGTGCGTACCAGAACCAAACCCGGCCCGTTCCTACACCAGCCTGTGTACACCAGAACCAAACCCGGCCCGTATCTACACCAGCCTGTGCACACCAGAACCAAACCCGGCCCGTTCCTACACCAGCACCAAACCTGGCCCATTCCTACACCAGCCTGTGCATACCAGAACCAAACCCGGCCCGTTCCTACACTAGCCTGTGCACACCACTGCTGCTGCCACTCTGTCAGTCCATCTCATTGGGGGTCCTTCCTCTTTTTCGCTGACCTTCAACTTTACGAGGTATGGCGTCCTTCTCTAGGGACTGGTGCCTTCTGATAATATGTCCCAGGTGTGAAAGATGAAGTCTTGTCATCTAGGCTTCTAAGGAGCATTCTGGCTATGCTGTTCACAACATAGGTTTGTTTGCTCTTCTGGAAGTCCATGGTACTTTCAATATTCTCCTCCAATAATCATAAGCATCAATTCTTCTATGGTCTTACTTATTCATTGTCCAACTTTCACATGCATGAGAGGCAACTAAAAATACCATGGCTTGGGTCACACACACCTTGGTCCTCAAACTGACGTCTTTGCTGAAGGTTGTAGTCTTTGATCTTCATCAGTAAATACTTCAAATCCTCTTCACTTCTAGCAAGTAAGGTTGCATCATCTGCATTATCACAGGTTGTTCCTGAGTCTTCCTCCAATCCTGATGCTATGTTCCTCTTCATCTTATCTAGCTTCTTAGAATATTTGTTCAGCATACAGACTGATTAAGTATGATAAAAAGGATACAACTCTGGTGCACACCACTTCTGATTTTAAACCATTCAGCAATCCCTTATTCTATCTGAATGACTGCCTCTCAGATCTATAAATAGGTTCCTCATGAGCACAATTAAGTTATCAGTTAGCAGGCTTCTATAATATTTACAGTCTCTACCTGGTGGCACTGTGGGTTAATGTGCTGGACTGCAAAGTCGGTTTGAAGCACAAAGTTGGAGGTTCAAGCTCACCAGCCGCTCCTTGGAAACCATATAGAGGGTCGCTATGGGTCTGAATTGACTTGACAGCACGTAACAACAACATATAGCAAAAAAGAACACTAAGTTTCAACACTACACACACATTAAATTTGATTTTATTACAGGTAGAAAATTAGCATTCTGCATTTCCTAAATATTTTATTAAGGATTCTTTTTACTCTGAATAAATATTTGAAACCAAGGGGACCATAAAAAAATGTCATACCTGCCAGTACACACTTAATAGCTTGCATTGGTAGTTCCAACAACTTTGGAATTATGGGACAAAGTCTCGTCAAACTCAGGATCTCAAAGTTCCCATAATCTACATATCCAACCAACACAGAGTCTTCAGAAGCATAAGCCAAAACAGAGGCACGGTACCATTGGTCATCCTCTGAAAAAAGGAAAAACTCAATCTGCATGTTTTTCCAATGAAAATATAAACAAAAACTCTTCCTCTCAAAATCAGAGATGGTCATCTGCAGATTTTAATACAACACTAAGCTTTATCGAACAACATATGTTTACTCAATGCTGCTGTTTTTCTTCACCAGAAGCCTTGTTGCCGCTGTTAAGTGCCACTGATTGGTTCCAACTCTTAGCTACTCGGCATAGGGTTTCCAAGGATATCCATCTTTACAGGAGCAGAAAGCCTCCTCTTTCTCCTGCCGAGTTGCTGCTGGGCCTTGGACCCCCTAAAATGTAATTGTTATTCATAACTTACTATTAATACTACTCTTTGTCACATGTTGTCATTACTGAGCAACATATCTTGGTTCCCTTTAGATAGCTCTTTGGGACAGAGAACACGACCTGGTCATGGGGACCCTCACAAGGTCTTGATTAATAAGTGAACCATTCATGAAGGCTTCAAGCACAGCTAATTTAGAACACCTGGTGGTCTGAAGCAATTAGACTCCATCAACCAACCAAGCAATCTATGTACTTGTAACTTGCATCTCCTCTCCCATGAGGCCACTAGGCCGCCTGCAGCAAAACCTAACAGAAGCCAGTTCCAGCAAGCTGAGACCTGAGTAAATCCAGAGGTTGCGCCCAAATAGCAGCAGGCTTCTGGACCCTCTAGCTGTTCCTAAGAAAACAAGAGCCCAAGAGGTTCCATATCTGCATACTGATGTAAAAAGAACCATCTGGTACCAGGCTCCAGAAAACAACAAAGCCTCCCTTTAATACCCCCTTGACGCCTACAGGCCCTCTTGGCCTTCCACGCCTCACACTATCCCTTGTCCTCGGGAGCCTGCTAAGTGCCATCAAGTTGGTGCAGACTCACAGTGACCCCCTGTATAAGGTTTCTGAGAACAGCTGATGGGTTTGAACCCCTAACCTTGTGGTTACTAGTCCAGTGCTTATCCTACTGTGCCACACAAGGACTCTGGCCCAGCTGAGTTGGACCCATTTTACATACATTAAGTTTCAAACGCAGCCATTCGGTATATACCGAGATTTCGGTTCCATTTGTTTTTACTACATTAGAAGTAACAAATTGAGCACAGGAATAAATAAATGGAGAAACCTCTATACATTTGGTTTTCAGCTGGGTAATGAACAAAGGATAAGGGAACCCTGGTGGCACAGCGGTGAAGCACTTGGCTCCCAAACAAAAAGCTGGTGGTTTGAACATACCACCCACTTGGTAGAGGAAAGATGTGGCAGTCTGCTTCCACAAAGACTGACGGTCTCCAACACTCTTTGAAGCATTCTGACTCTGTCCTCTGAGTTCGAGTCGGCCAGGTGGCAGGAGGCTTGGTTTCATTTGGGAATGAACAAGTGACCTCATGAATATTCTATTTCCTTACCTGAGAACTGAGCACAACAGATATCACCAATGGATGGGAAAAAATCAAAGCGTGGAGACGCTCGACTGCAGTACTCACACAGGGATGTCTGAAGTTCAGCAAGCTTATCTGTAAGTACAGATTACATCGTAAACAGAGTACATGAAGATTCATACATCACCTTTTACCTTTACCTACTGAGTCTCATGAAGTATGTTACCCTGGCAGAACAAATCAAGGAAGTTTACTTACGGCCACTTTGTAGTTGCTGACAAAAGAAGTCTTCTGGAGTCTGAATGTGGGCCACCACACCACAAAACTCCTCCCCAACGTTCAGAGTTAACACTTTGGGGATTAAGTCATTGCTGTCTACAACAATTCTGTCTTCAGCTGTCATTTTTCCAGCATCTTCAGAATCATCTTCTCAGAAAACAGAAAAATAAAAAGTCATTTTGGTTTCATGAAAGTTACAAAAAAAAAAAAAAAATCACATACATTTTAATCATTTTGAAAAAGAGAATATGACCAGGTAAGATTCTTCCTGGAAGATGCCTATGATGTTTCCTCCCACAAATATGGAATAGCTGTTAAGAAAGGTAGGCTTATTTATCACTACACTAGTCCCAAGAGAGAAACCGGATGAAATGACTTAAGATACACATTCAAATCTAATTTACAAGTTGTACACAGGATCATTAAGAATGTCTACAAAAATGAAAGAAAATAACCTGGAATGGATATCGTCTCAAGTATAAACAAGTCAGATTAGAATTGATTCCACAGGTAA